CCCCCGGGCCCAAGATCTTGCCCGATGCGGAAGTCTTCATTTGCTATATCCAAAAGTACGCAGGAAGAAAAGAATAAATATAACCATAAACTGGATCGAGCATAAATATCATGATAAGGAGAAAAGATAATGAAAATGAAAAAGGAACCAAGAGATTGCAAAATCTAGCATCCAACCATCCATTCAATGCGATGCACCAATATACCCTTATAAACAGCTTCAACGCCATTGCTGTAGAATACAATCAACATATCATGTGCTTTTGGCAGCAACACTTGCCTTGTCCTGTACACCTGTGTCTGTGGCAGTAATTGTAGTATTTGTAGGCTTACTGCCAGCAGCGTCAGCAGTAGTACCAGTAGCGTCTGGGTTCAGGGGATGACTAGGGTCATAGCCCACGCTCTTCACAATCCCCAGACCCTTGGTGCGGCCTTCACGGAACAATATCCTGTCGCCTGGGGACAGGAACTCTGGGCGCTGAATGAAGCGGAATGCCACCAGTGCTCGGTCCCCAGTCCGGATGTAAGCACGGTCGATGTCGATTATCGCGCATGTCTGGCGGACTGCTCCAACGTGCAGCATGGCTTGATACTTGGGGCGGATAGTGGTGGCATGCGACAAGATAAGCACTTTGTATGGAATTCGTTAGTCTCGTTTCTTTGGCATGGTACTTACGAATTCATAGTCGTGAATCTGCAAGGTACAATCAAAAACGGAAGGAGGAGGGCGCTTACCTTCAGCGACAAACTCACGATAGACTTTTGGCGGCGCAGTCTCCATCTTCGCCATTACTACCATCCCCTTGCGAACCTCTCTTCGCCGTACGCGCTTCAGAGCAAACGAAGCAGACTGTCCTGCAGAGCATGCATTGACGGGAATCCGTTTCCGCTCAATCGATTTGATAGTCGTTGTTATGAACTGGCCTAGCGAGTCGGGTCCAATCTGCACCGTATCTCCTGCGTGCACAACCCCCGATTTCACAACACCAGAGACCACGGTACCGACGAAAGGCACTGAGAAGTGGTCGTTGACCAAGAACTCGAATGGCGCCTCGGAGTTGTAGTGGCCATAATGAGGTAGGATATTGAGGAATGTGCGGACATAATCGAGACCCTCGCCGGTAACGTTGGAAACCTGGAAGATAGGACAGATACGCTGACTAACAAACTGAGTGGCTGTGTTGACTGTCTCATCCATATCCTTGATGAAGATGGGGATTTTTCGCGCGCCCGGCGATTTAAGGATCCGTTTGAGCTGAGTGATAGTCTCCTGGAGAATCTGGGGAGGACAAATGTCAATTTTAGTAATGACCACCATCACAGGAACATTCAGCGCCAGCGCAATTCCCAAATGTTCCTTGCTCATACCAACTAAACCGTTGTTGGCTGCCACCATCAGTAAGCAGTAGTTGGGGCTGCTACTCAACATTCCAAAGACAGTGGTCCGTAAGTACCGCTCGTGGCCTGCAAGATCAGAGAAAGAGATAATCTTGGCCGATTTCTTGCCAACTTCCTCCCACGATAGCTTACGACCTTTGTCACTGCTGACAATCTCGCCTCCCGCGTCAAATCCCATAATTTCCATGCCGACAGAGCTGGTTCTACCGGTTTCAATTTCGTGCTTGTGTCGGAACAGGTTGACACGTGCCTTGCCACGGCCATCATCAAGGCTTCCTTTGACCAGAACACCTAGCAGGGTGCTCTTCCCAGCATCAACATTTCCTACAACAGCAATCCTAGTCTCAATGACCTCCTCGATCCGATCCGGAACCTGGCGGATCAAGACCTTGCCGCAGCATCCTTTCATTCTCTCGATTCGTGTCTTTGCTTCTTCAGGTCCGTCAACATTGTATGTCAGAAGCACGCGGCAGTGAGCAGGGACGGTATTCGCTGCTTCCCGGAGGCGTTCGAGCGCAGTATCCCACTCAGCTCGTGTAAGGTTCATGGTATCCCCATTGTCTTCAATGCCCAGCTCGAACAACGTCTCTCCTTGGCCTTCATCAATGCGCCTTTGAATCACTCCTGCAAGAGTATGGAGGCTGTCCTCCTCATCTGGGGACGTCCCGAGGAGGATATCTTTCAGTTTGGCTAGACTTGGGGCATCGCTTAGACCAAGCTGATCAAGGATATCAAGCTCGGCATGTTCTTCAGCCACAATAGAAGAAGTTGTGGTGCCATATCCGCTGTCACTAGGAGCAGCAGAGGCTTCAGCGCGGCGCAATTGTTCCCTGGTTACATAGTCGGTAAATTCGCTGAGCGCCTATGAGCCTGATTAGATGAAACTAAATCCGAACCAAGGATACCGCATTGAGTCAAAGACATACCAGCTCGCCCCTGCGCCGTTCCTCCGGGGTCTGTTTCGAAACAACTTGAGGCATGTTTGATTCAACGAGGTTAGATTACGATTGCTTGCTGCTGTCTTCTGGGCGGATCGCCGTTGGGCGCATTCAGCAGTGTATTCGTAATATCATTCTTATGGTGTGAGGAAAGAAAGAGAATACCCAACCGTCGTGGAGCTTTCAGACCATTGTAGACATTGATGGTTTCGAAGCACAGATTGGGCAGAGAGGAAGTGTGTCTGAGTAAGAGAGAGCGTTGCTGTCATAAGTTGGGACTACGTATGGGAAGGACTGTGGATCGCGGGGCAAGGCTCCGCTTTTATCGATAGGACAGCACCTTACATCCTCATACTCAAGGCACAGTGTCAAGACGAGTGAGTCACCCAGTAACTTAGTTGTTGTCAGATCAGTTAGATGACTCATTCGGTTACTCGAGTCTCCGACACAGAAAAATGCAGTGACTAATTTACATTTCATTGCATAGCTAAGGGGCTATGAATCGCACAAATAAATCGTGAGGCCGTTGCTAAGGTAATGCGCCGACATCTCATGCGGCAATCGTAAGAAAGTCTCACTGGAATGAGTCATAGGAGATGTTCCATTGTTATCATTGTTGTTTGTTCATCGTCATTATCGCCATTCGATCGAAACTCGCGGGAAACTCCCGTTGTGTGTTGTGTCCCTTCCCCTTTGCATTATATGCTGCGTATGCTGAATGGCTCTTTTCGCATTGTATTTGATCGATAGACGGCCGGTCTCATCGAAATGGAGGCTCGCTATTCCATCAAGTTTCGCCGTCGTCATCGACATCATCATAGAGGAAATATATGTTTTGATGCTGTTACGATGCTTGCGGGGATATAAGAACGACCGAGTCGCCTGTGCAGTTGATGAGATGTTAGTTTCATATGACCATCCCTCCAGTTCGTATGGATACAGTGTACAACGTACCTCGCACAAAGAGCATTTCTTCTTGTTTCCTTATGGTCTGAAGCAAAGCGTGATTTTCGTCAGATCATATTATCCAAATAACCCGATAATTCGTCCTCATGCTAGAAATATGTAGGCAGAGACATACCTTCACAGTCTCTTCCTCGTTCTCGTCCTCCTCAACCACATAAATTGTCTCCTCGACGTCGCCCAGAACCAGGTTGCAGTGACTATCGTAAGCCTAGTATATGTTAGCCTACATCTAGACAAATGCATAGTCATGATCTGTCGAGAAAAAGCAAGTAAAGAGAAAGGTAAAGAAAATATCAACTCACATGAAGCCGGCCTTTCAATTCGCGATCCCCGCGTAGCTTGACAAAGACAATCTCGTCCAACGACAGGCGCACCAGGTCCAGCGGTTCTGACACAGAAGCGCCTCCGGTTTCTGTGTCTGCCATTGTCTATTTCTATCGTGCAGCTTTGCAAGAATCAAATTAGAGAAATAAAAAAAGAAAGTGGCTGTGTTAAACGAAATCAGAGACAGACATCGCGCTCTTTTTTCTAGATTCCATTCCGAACTTGCTTGACCGCAATGCCAAGATTCGTTAGCAAAAGAGGAATAGCGTTATGTCCAGAACAGTCTAGCCGAATATAGATTACTCTCTGCTCAGTACTGTCTACGGCTCTTTCTCCTTTTCTCTTTTTTTCCCTCTTTTTCCTAGTTTCTAACATTAATTCTGGCACTGGTCTTCCTCTAAGATGTTACTACCTATTGTTGGCGTTGGTATTCAGCTGTCGGTTCCCGACCACGCTGATTGGCCGAAAGAAGGTCTATAACGTGACTGTGCTTAGTCACATCAAAAAAGCCAATCAGCGAGAAAATAAGCTGATGTTATAGTATACGAGCCAGCCAATGAGCAAGCATGAAATCCACCCCCATATATATCTTTCGATACTATCGTTATTTGGATACGTATAGAATTCTTCTTAAATTAGTGCCAATATCTGTCCTCTAATGTAATTCAGCTCGTTTCAGCGTACTATATAAACCGTATCAGGTACTTTCAGAGACGACTTCATTCTCTTTCTAGGCAATGCCCAGTTTGAAATTGCTGTCAACAACTCAAACCAACCCAATCCAAAATGGCTGCCTCATATGCAATCATTATCTGCCATGGCTCTTACCACACCCCAATCCCCTACCAACCCTTCATCATTGCTCTCCAGACCCAAGGCATAGAAGCCTACTGTCCTCAACTCCCAACATCTGACCTACGTAAGCTGAACGTTGGTATCCAGGAGTCGTCCACACTCTCCCAGCCAAATTTCGATAGACCACCACCATCAGGTGGATACCCTCAGCCAGCCGACGATGCTCTCGTCATCAACGAACTGCTCGACAGACTCATCGAAGAGGAGGGCAAGAATGTTATTTTACTAGGGCACTCTGCTGGTGGATTCGTTGCCACGTATTCTGCCAGACGGAAGTATCAAAGGAAGGTTCGACAAGCATCTAATCTGCCCGGAGGACTCGTGGGAATCTTCTACGTTTGTGCCTTTATGATTCCTGTTGGGGAATCTGTACATAGCTTTTTCCAACCGAAGGATGGCCCTGGTATTGTGCCACCGTATTGTCAGTTCCACGTAAGTTGTCTGACAACACCCTTTAAAGACCTTGCTATTACAATATGAAAGACACTAGGTAGGCTGACATTAGAAATCCATAATCTTGCCAGGGCAATGGGTTCGAGGGCATTGCATCCACCGTCAATGCCGCTCAGTACTTCTTCAGTGGTTTGCCCGAGGAAAAGGCAAAGTACTACGAGTCAACTATGACGGCTTCCCCGGTGCCGACGACTGTACTAGACAACGACGCCTACACCGAGCTACCCTGCGCGTACGTTATCGCCGACTCCGATCTAGCTTTACCTGCTGCGTTCCAGGAAGCTATGGTGAAAATGCAATCACAAAGAACTGGAGTGCATGTGAAAGTGTTTAGATGCGATGCCGGCCACTCGCCTCATTTGACATGGACCGATGGGTTGGTTCGGTTTGTCCAATCGTGGGCAGAGTCATTAGTATAGGTTGTGTAAATAGCCTATTTGGACTAGTAACGGGCCGCGAATGATGTGCCTATTGGGTATATACTACATCTGAAATAAAATACACTCCTACCTAGGTAGTCAACGGAAGACCGTGGGTCGTCGCGTTCCAGATTAGCGCGTGCGGCCCGCCGCTTTATGCCTCACCACCGCCGCTCCCTCTCCTCCCCCGTGCCTCTCCTCTCCACGCCGGCCTCACTCGCCGCCGTGTCTGCGAAACCGCAGAAATGGTCAACTTTACGCGATGGAGGGGATAGGACGCGCTAGCTGGCCGTTGCCTCCCTCCAAAAGGAGGCCCGCGGACTCCTCGTCCTCGCCGGGCCTTCCTACGGTTCCCATCTCCTTGGTATTCCTGCCTGGCTTGCTCGCTGGAGTCTTCGAGTTACCTGATCTAGCATTAACTATAGATCCCACGAGAAACGTCTATCTTTGGTGCCGCTGAGGAAACCCTATTCACCAAAGATGTCTCCAGCGCTGTGTCCGGTCCCTTGAACTGTTGTGATGGCGAGAAAAAAACTATTTGAATAGGAGAAGCAGCAGCATCAAGTTTAATAACAATAAGACACTATTAAGCTATTTCTTAATATCCTTTCTTATTAAATAAGTCTAGTTATTTTATATAGCTATTATTATTTTGTTTGTAATGGAAAAGTAAATAAAGAAAGGTAGGTGATATATGTAGTATATAGAATAAAGAACTACTAGAAAATGATTTAATTGTGTATAATTAAAATAGCCAGGCCATTGTCTAATAAAAAGATAACCAAGTTTGAAACTCTGCTAGTTACCAGGTTTAGTAGTCAAACGCGAGAGGATATAAGCAAGTCTATAGTCGGTTCTTTCAAGGAGTTATTGGTTAGGTGACTTTAAATGAGTGAAAAATCCTGCCTACTACTTTTCTAACCACAGGCTTCAAAAACTTGATATTTCGATGACTGTTTTCTTTATAGTCGCTTTTAACTACGTTTTCATATTATTTCTCTCCGATTAAACCATGAGCCGCAACTTCACCAGAAATATCCAGACCACAGCGAGAAGTTTGGTTCGGTTTATTGGGTCTCCCCTTGACAACATTGTGACCAGAAACGGCTCGAACGGTTATCGGTGGTGGAGGTCGGCAGAAGCAGTCTGCAATGCAATAGAGAGAGCTGTGGGTAAGCCCATAGCGCAAATTGCACCTTGACTAATTCCTCTTTGCAGATATCCAGAATGTAGCGACATAAGACATCCGATCAGAATGCCCCTGACAGTTGACAGGCAATGGCCCACACATCCTCCAAGGACAAATGAGACGCGAATGAGCTCATTACAGTAGCACTTCAAACAAAGTCTGGCACTCGAGTAAGTTCAATTCATGTACATCTCGATGGCACTTGGAAGTTCTTCGCATCTTGAGCCGGAAAAGAAGGCGGATATGCATTTGCAAATCTTCCAGGGCACCCTGGACCCCAGTGCATCAAAACCCCAAGAATCGACGTTGTAGCAGATATGACCAATGAACTAAGTGTAAAGCACCACCCACAGCCTATCGAGTCGATCATATAGATGATGACGGCTGATTCGCCGGCACCAAGCAGACAACGGCGGAGATTATTACCTGCTGTGGCTGTCGCCGGGGAAATTGGGTCTGGAGTTATTAGTTTTCAAATCCCAAGACTAATTCAACATTAAGTTTAGTAATGGGAGACGCATACAATAGTCGATTAAGGCGACACTGCAGCAATTAAGCTGCCGGAAATACAATACCCAACAAAAAAAAAAAAAAAAAAAAAAAAAAAAAAAAAAAAAGTCGCGAATGGGCCCTAAATTTGCAGGAACTTCGAGCCCATTCCAAGCGCTTATACTGTTCTTAGGCTGACTGGGTTTCCTGGTGTTGGTGACGGTGTAGTCTTCACTTCCCTCTGTAGGAAAGGTCCCTGAGTTGCGGAAAAATCAATAGATACCCTGTGGGCCTCTGCATATGAACTGTACGATCGTATCTCAGCCCCTTATCAAAGTTCTTCCAGGGACTTTCTGCGACGTACGCCCGGCCCAAATTTGGCGTAGCAACGAAACGGGTTGATTTTGAGATCTACACTAATGTGCGTGAACACCCTGAAAATGTCGGCCCAGAACTACAACTACGAGCCAGTGATCCAGTTGCACGCACCAATCCAGTGACAGGCTAAAAGTCAGTGTTCGTGTTTGGACACAATGTTGAAAACATCAATGATCTGACGGAGCCTGAATCCAAGGGATTAATAGATTGGTTGTTTAGGCTTGGAGAACAGACTGCTCTGATCTGATCCGATGCTATGGCTGATCTATTCAAAAGCGTAGCAAGCTTCATATATACGAAGGTCATGTAGAACGAGAAAGGAAACGAAAACTAAACATCTCTGACATGACAGCCAGCTTTGCCCACAACTACTTTGATCGGCATGGTGCGAAAGTCCGGACCGTATTCACTCATTTTTACTAAATAATCAGAACAGTGCATCGTATGTTCGTGTTCCACGATAATCGAATCCAGATACTTCCACCCCTCTGTAAATGCCCGATACTGTCTTCTCCATAGCACAGCACAGTGGACAATATGGTCTCTGATTGATGTATAATAGAAGTCACGGTCACCGAGCTCCTCCCTAGTCAGGAGCTGTGTCCTGTTCTCGTCGGCGTATGGAAGCCATGACCCGTCGGATTGATATTCTTCGATTGAGAATTCATCTTCACATTCTCCTGGAACCCAATGGTTGCTGAGTATATCATATTGACATCCTTTGGCCTTTGCTTCTTGTACCGAATGGCCGCAGGTCAAGTACTCGGTCTCCGTGTCAAGAATACGTTTGCCGTGAGGATGCGAGATGGTAGTGTTAAGGACGGATTCGAATGTGGTGGGAGAGAAATGAATAACTAGCAAAATGAGGCATCCCCACACCAAAGATGTTGCCACAAAAACTGCACAATGTGTGGTGACTAGAGATGGATTCCTTAACCATCTCGTTATAGAACCAGGGAGGTGTTGATGCTTGGACCTGAAAATCGATTTATGCTCGGTTTCAAAATGCGAAGCGCCCAGGAATGGCTGTGTTTCTTCCATTTTGTCCGAACAATTGGGTGGAAGTTCTCGAAGACTCTCTTCTTTACTGTGTTATACAGATGTATTAGATGGGTCTCAAAAGACTCAGCAAGTGGTGACTTTCATCGCGAAAAGGATTATGCTGTTTAGTGATCGCCCACGTAATGAGAGTGGTGATGACCGTGAGCATCTATAACAATGGCCACTAAGTGATTTGCTGATGTGATCAGCTCAACCACGTCACCCAAGAGTGTGTCAGCAAACTCATGCTGATATCATACCGAAAAATACCAAGGACATTATACGGGACACTCCAGTGAGACCAAAGGAGTTTAATAAGCCCGATGACTCATCGCAAGTCTGTGTCATCGCATCAAAGGATCCTTGTAGAAGTTCTTTTAAACCGGTATTGAGCATAGGGAAACTTTGAATTCCAATAAAATTTGATATAAAATATTATAACCCATTCAAACCAAGTTCTACTATAAACATCAATTAAGTCGTTGATTCAAGATCAGCTTTCACGACAGTACAATCAACATGCGTTTCGCAGTCGTCGTCCTCATCACGCTAGCTGGCCTCGCTGTCGCGGCACCAGCACAAAATTCAAACCAGCCTGGTGATATCTATAAGAGAAGCGAAGACAGCAGCCAAACTCGCGGCGGTATTCCATGGAAGCGAAGCGAAGACAGCAGCCAAACTCGCGGCGGTATTCCCTGGAAGCGAAGCGAAGACAGCAGCCAAACCCGTGGTGGTATTCCTTGGAAGCGCGATGAAGGGGCTTACTAGGGATGAAGCTGTGTTATTCTCGGTCGAGATCAGGACGGCGGATGTCTCTCAAGGGGACTGACGATGACTTCATTTAAATTCTTTATTAGTGGTCTTGACGGACCGAATCATCCTGGTTCTAGTCTTTCAAAGAAGACAATATCCTATCATGACTGAAATTGGGGTAGACTAGAGTTTATGTCCTGCATTTTATCAATGATCCTGAATAAGTTCTAGGCTTTAAGCTTTTATACACTATCTTTTTCGTAGACCTAATCAAAATACATGTACGTACCCTCTATTAGCATGATTTTGAGATCTCGGGAAGGTGAAAAAGTGCCGGTAACCAATACAGTACTTCACCGCCTGCCGCTCGTTATCACCTGCCGCCCGATTTCTCAAAATTATACCAAATTTTCATATTCGAATAGCTTCATCAATATGGCTCCAATTGATGAGGCGGTTGCATTTTTAAGATCGCAAGTTCCAGACGAAAAGATTAATATTACTAGAGTCGCAAAATTTTTTGGTGTTGACTGTAATACGCTGTCAAGAAGATACCGTGGGATTCAGAACACGTACGACGCGCAATACGACAACCAGTGATTATTGAATAATTGACAATCTACTGAGCTTATAAAATGGATTAATACGTTGATAGAGCGCGGTATTCTATTTATAATTATAATGCTTAATAATTTTACAAAGGAACTATCTAGAAAAGAAGCTAGCAAGAATTAGGCTTTATATTAGATCAAGGCTTATTTTAATTAATTAATCTCACACTATTCTCTAGGCCTTGACGTGCAAAGAAAAAGAGCAGATTTAGTGTATAAATATTTATTATATTTTAAACTTTTAATGTGGAAGATTAAGAAATATAATATTAAACTAGAATAAATCTATAATATAGATGAAAAAGGCTTCATGATTAGAATTATATCAAGATTAAAAAGAGTCTTTTCCTGGTATTAATATAAGTAAGGAGGGCTTAAGCAGCATATTTAAAATAGAAATTAAGAGTAGATTATAATGATTGCTTACATTTATACTAATAAAATAATACTTTCTCTAGACTTAATCTATATAGCTAAATCTGGTAATCTTTAAGAATCTTAGCTTAATAATTTTGATTCTAAGGAGTATACTTACTTCTTTATAGCTTTAGAAAGTGGTTAGATAAATAAGAAGCTGGGATATTAATGATTAATTTAAATATTTAATCAAGAAACTAGATAAAAGGCAGGATAAGGATATTAACTCTTGATTCTTGATGGCTATAGCTTATATCTCAATATGAAGTTTATAAACTATTGCCATTCAAATAAGATTCTATTAGGAATCTTTCTGGCTTATGCAACGTATACTTTACAGCCTCTTAATATATTTCTTTTTGCGCTCTTATCTTGAGCCTATTCTAATAAATTAGAATAGTTTATTTACTAAAGTTAAGGATATAGCCATCTGTGACGGGGGTTGCAAGAACGTAGCTGGGATTCGGCTTCGGCCTAGGAATCGATTCGAATATATAACGTATATACATGTATGCTCAGCAGCTAATCGCTGCTTCATGAAGGCCTAAGGCCACCTATAGTTATAAGACGGTGTATATTAAATCACTAGTCTAATTAATAGCAGAAAGCTGGGTAAGGTCATATATCTACTATATTTTGAAGCTATTTCTAACTTTATCTAGAATTCTACCTTATAGCTATCCCTCTCTTTATAAAGGCGCGTTCCTAAGCTTAAAATTTTACAGGCTTGTAGAGTTTAATATATAGAATTAATAGTTTAAGTTTTATAATAAAATCCTTATTCTTAATAAAGAAATTAAAGGTAGATAATAGATATTAGATAAAGGATTAAATATATAGAAAATAGTTAAAATTAATACTAATAAAAAGTATATATAAATCCTTATCTTATTTATTCTAACTTTCTTTTCTTTTTTTTTCTTTTCCTCAGCCTTATCTTCTTTCTTAATAATAAATGTTATCTTAATACCACACTTTTTTATTAAATTTTCATTAAATATAGATTTAGTATATCTTATATTATTAATTTCTTGCTTTTTCTATATCGATTTGATGTTTAAGGCAATAGTAAGGTGGTTTTAACCACCTTATAATTAAGTGTGATAATTAATTTAAAGTGCTTAATTCTAATAATTTAAATTTGCTCTAGTTATCCCTTTTTTTAAGAGTAGTGTTCCAATGCTTAAGAAAATATTAATATAATAGTAATTTACTGTTATTAATCTAGATTTATCCTTATATTTAGAGTATCTTATAAAAATATTGTTTATATAAGTAAGTTGATTATATAAGATGAGTCATAAAGTTAAGTAAATATTAATATGAATAAATGGATAGCTTAAATCTTTATATACTCCTAAGGGTTCTTTAGTTAAGCCTTTTAATGTAGTTTCTACTTTTAGTGTTGTATCTAATAACTTCTAATCCCCTACATCTTTGAAGGGCAAGATAAGTAATAATATTTTATATATAAGGTTTTAATACTAATAGAGTATAGAAATATGTAGTTAAATCTCTATATAAGCTCTTATACTTAGCCTATTTTTAATTCTAGACCACTTTAAATTCTTATAACTATATTAAGTAATAGTATACTTATTATGATACTATAACTTAATTATATATATATTATCAAATACTTAAGTGCAAATATGTCTCTATAAGTATATATTTATACTCTAGTTTAGGTGTCTATACTATTAAATATCTCTTATTTTATAACTAATACTAATAATTTATAGTACTTTAAATCTCTATTAAACTGCCTAAAGACTTTAGCTAATAAGTTTTATTAGGATTTAATAGCAGGAAACTTCAGTAATTAATATTATATATTAAATAAAGCACTTAAGGCTTCAAATTATATATTTAAAAAATATATTATTAAGACAGACTTTAATACTAAAATTAATAATAAAAATATAGCTTTAACTCAGCTTAGTTTATTTAAAAAGCATTTAATTATAGTAATTTATATTATTTTATTAAAAAAGCTTTATCCTCACTATTTCTATTCCTAGTTAATATATTTAGCTGGTAACCCTACTAACTTTAATAAAAAAAGAAGGTCTCCTTTACTTCCTCTTATTAAGTTTATTTATGAATAGATATTTATACCTAGATCTTTAGGCTTTTAATCTTATAATTTATCTTCTTAGCTTTTATAATTAATTAGTTAAGCTTTTATTAATTATATAATATAAGTTTCCTTTAAATCTTATAACTAATGACTCTTACTAATAGTTTATAATATAAAATAGGTCCTATATTTATCCTTTACTATTATAAATTAAACTTTTCTTTATCTCTTTTTTCCTTATTTTGAGTTATAAATAGTCTTGTAATTTTAAAGATAAATTTTAAATATAGTATAATTATTAATATTCTTCTTAAATTCCTATATGTAATCTTCTTTAGAATAATCTGCCTACTTAATAAAGTATATTTTATTCTTTTTAAAGCTTTTTTTTATATAAATTTCTTTAATCTTATATTCTCTAATATTATTTATAATAAGACTATCAGATAAGGTTTTGTTTCTAGCTATATCTTTAAATAGTTTTAATAGTAAGATATAGAATATTAGATGCAATTATTAATATTATAAAGATATTTTTAGCTTATATATATTTATTTCTTATGTATTTAGTATTTAGAAGGGTCTAATAAACTTAGAATTAAACTTTAATTTCTTTCTATCTAGGAGATAGATGTTTATAGTTTATAATATCACCTTATTATTAATTTAAAACTATATTACTATGTATTTTTTATTAAAATATTTAGACTAATTCTCTAATGCTTTCTCTAGTAGCTTTTAAAGTTCTTTATATTTGATTTATAGTTAGATTGTCTATTTAGTTGCTAGTATTTGATCTTTTTTTGTCTCTGAGGTTTTCTTATTAGAATCTATACCTAGGAGGTCCTAATTAATATTGATGCAAATATCTTCTTGAAAGCTTATTAGTGCTTTGGTAGATGATATTCTAGTGATGCTATATATATTATTATTATATATGTATTAAGCTAGTGCTAATCACTATATCTAGTTATTTTATAATAAATTGATATATGACTGAAAGTAATATTCTAATATCTAATTCTGTTGTTCTGTTTAGCTATTAGTTTAAGGATGATAAGTTATACTAATTCTCCTTTTTATATTAAAGTACTAACAGAGTATTTTCTAAAATATAACTATAAATATTATTGCTCAATTGCTTATAATATTCTTAGGTATAATAAAGTATTTAATTATTAATTTATATATAGTCTCTGCCAGTTTTTTTACTAATATAGTAGTAGATATAGATTTATATATAATATATTTTGTTAATAGTTCTATAATAACTATAATAATATTGTACATTTTTCCCCTTTAATTTAAAGATAGAAGCTCCACTATAAAATCTAAAATAACTAACTCCCAAGGTTTTATAGATTTTAGTAATGGCTTTATCAGTCTATATTCTTTATGCTATAGCACACAATTATATTAGCACTTTATATATATTAAATAATAGTATTGAACCGCATTATAAAGCCCTCACTAGAAATATTTTAATAATATTATTTTATATATCCTTTTAATGCTGAAATAACCTTCTTATAAATTATTATAATTAACTTGCAGGACTTCTTACCTAAATACATAATCATATAGTATATATACTATATCTTTAAATCTAAATAGATCATCAGCTCCAATGTACTAATAAGAATAATTTATCTTTAAATTTAGATCTACTATCTATTTTTATATATTCCTAGCTTATATATCTATTTATTAATAACAATAAATAATAATAATAAGCTCTTCAGGCATATCTAAATAGACTGTCTTGATTATAGTAGCTATTATTATTTTAAATCTTAGTATTAAGAATTCTAGATCTTTTATAATACTAATAATTATTTTTTTTTAACTGCTAGATACATTTTAATATCCAGAATTTAAATTATTATTAATTTAAAGAGTCTTCATTGTCTCTTTTAAATATATAAATTTTATACTATTAGAACTATATTTATATTTAGAGGATTTTATTCTTATTAAATAAAATCCTTAATTTAGCTTTTCCTTTAATATTAATAATAGGATCTATTAATTATCTTTAACTTTAATATAGTCTAGCTTTTAACTTGATATATTTATAAGATTTCTATACCCTAGCTAATATTTAATATTAAAATTAAATGCTGTAAGCTTCTTAGTTTATTAAGCCTACCTTTAATTTAGTTTTTTTGTAGTCATGAAATACTAAAGATTATTATAATCTAAAAGAATAGTTATAGGCCTATTATTATCTTTTAGATAGTGCCTTTAGTATTTAAAGATTTTAATAATAGCTAATAGCTCTTTATTATATATTTTATAGTTAAGTTTAATTAAGATTATTTTTTAAGAGTAGAATATTATTAGATATTATAATTTATTAACTTTTAACTAATTTAGAATCACTGCTATAGTAAAGTTTAATATATTAGTTTCTATTCTAAATAGGAGTTCTAGTTTAAAATATTTAAATATAAATGCTTATATAAAGTGTTTCTTAAGGATTTTAAAGGTGTTTTGTGTTTCTTTAGTAAAAATAAACTTTATATTAGCTTTTTGTTCTACTTTTAACCTTTTTTATATTTATTTATAACCCTTAGTTATATTCAATAATAGTGTAATAATTGCGGAATATTTCTTGATAAATCTATGATAGAAATTAGTAAAGTTTAAGAATTAAGCCATATTCTATATATTTTTAAATTTGGGCTATTTTTAAATAATAATGACATATTTAGATTTTATTCAAATACTTTTTATTCTGACTATAAAATCTAGAAAATGTACTTCATCGATTTTAAAAACACATTTTAATAGCTTAATATACAACTTATATTACCGTAAATAGTTTAATATCTTATAAATATTCTTTTCATAGGTAGCTTTATCCTTTAAATATATAATAATATTATCTAGATATACTATATAGCTCATATTTAGAAGGTTGCTCAGTGCTTAATTTATATATAATTAAAAAATTACTGAGACATTTGCTAGCCTAAATAGTATAATAGTATATTTATAATGTCTATATTGAATATAAAAAGTGATTTTCCACTTATCTCTCTTCTTGATTTGAATGCAATAATATATATCTTAGAGATTTAGCTATATGAATATTAATACTCTAGAGAGCTGATTTAAAATCTCTCTAATTAATAGTAAAGAATATTAGTTCTTAATTATAATAGTATTTACCCTTTAATAGTTAATACATAGCTATAGACTATTATCTTTCTTAAATATAAATAAGATAGATGCTCTAGCAGGACTTTTTAACTTATAAATCTAGCCTTTAACTAGGTTCTTTATTAGATATTTTTAAAGTACTTTTTATTCTTTTAAATTTAGCTAATAAATTAAATAATATAATAGTTCTTTACTAGGCTCTAAATTAATAATATAATTATAGATTATATATTTAGATAATACTACTACCTACTTCTTTAAGAAGATATTAAGATATAATTCCAAGTATGCTAACAATTTTAAAATATTAATAACTACTAATTATAAAAGACTCTTAGTCTCCTCCTTATCTAGATTAATTTTTTTTATTATAACTCTTCTTGGATTTATAATATAAATAGTCTTTTTATTCTTTATAGCTTAGTAGAGTTCTTAAGCCATAATCTACTTTATATATAATTTTAGTATGTGCTCTGTGGGTATATTACTTCTATTTTTTATAAAGTTCTATTACTATATAGTCCTATAACTCATATAGTAGAGCGCGAGCTTAGCCTTTTATTTAATAGGCTAGCAGTAATATTATTATCTTATAATATAGTAGATATTAGAATTTGCAGCTAAGTGCTATAGTAATCTAAGTATAATATTATACCTTTTTATATTAATAATACTATAAATCTACTAAATATTTTCTAGTCTATTTTCTAAATTAAGAGCAATAATAATTAATAAAGTCTTTCTATATATTAGTATTAAATGTCTGTCAATCATTTTTATAATTATAATTAGACTTATTAGAAAATATGCATTCTTTTATATCTATTCTTAGTCTATAAAGTTATCTTTAGCAGCTCTATTAATTAAGATAAGTAATTTTATGTAATTTTTTAAAATTTATATATAAATATATATATTAATATATAATCCTTAATTTAATTATATAGTATATAGTCTTAATATTATAGTAATATATCAGATCTTATTAGGAAGTTATTTTAAATCCTTCTTAGATCTTTTATTAAGATCTTTAGAGTAATAATTCTTCTCTATATATTCTTTTTTATTATAGTAAGTATATATTAATAACTTTTAAGCCTTTAACCTATCTCTAAAATCTTTAGTTTTAGATTTCTTCTAGAAATAATAACTACTATAGTAGTTATTTTTTTAGTTAGATTTATTACTTTGATTTAAGTTTTAATCTAAAGCTTTATTTTTTAAACCTAAATTTAACTCTATAATTTATTTTTAAATAGCTTAGAGTTCCTTCTTTTATTTTAGTATAGAATCTTTTATTTTTTAAAGATATATTATATAGTTATTATACTTCTCAGGTTTGTTATTTTATTATATAGTCTTAATATATATAGATTTTATAATTTAATCTTTAAGGTAATATTTCCAATTTTTATTTATATAGATTTGTTCTAAGAGATATTCTAATCTTTAGATATAAATATTAAATTTAGATATAGTTTAGTCTTTTTATTACTATACCTATTAGTATTACTTATTTACATCTTAATGCAATAATTCTAAAATATATATAATATCTATTAGAAAAGATTTAAAGTCTTTTTATATTATATAATTAATCTTTATCTTATCTTTTATAAATATATTTTATTAATTAAATATTTTCTAACTTAACCCTTCAACTACAGTTAATATTTTATATTAGTTAATATCTTTAAAGTTATAATATTTTATAAAATAATATTTAAATTAAAGCTTAAAGAATTCTAATTTCTTTATATTAGTACTATTATACTTTCTTTTAAATATTAGCTTTAACTATTTTAAGAGAATAATTTCTATAAATACTTATAATCTCTTTTAACTTAGTAGCTTTTCCTTAGTTATTATTTTAATATTAATTATCTCTTACTCTCTTCTTTTCTTTTTTAGATTAAAGTAATTTGAATCTTTCTACATATTAAAACTCTATATTAGTAAACTTATTAATAATAAATATAATAATTATTACTCTAGCTTTTTAAGCTTTTAAAATATAATTTATATTATAATCCTTTAATACTATATCTCTATAACTTTAGCCACTCTAATTTTAAATTTAATAAGTTTATCTATTATTATTATTAGAAAGTCTTTCTTTAAATACTCTATTAATAATTTTAAATAAAATTATAAGTGTTAGGATCTTATTCTAAATTTTTATAACTACTAATTCTATAACCATAATCTTAATATTTATCTTACTAGCTATTATTAAAAATATATTAGCTTTACCTTTCCCTTTATTACTTAACTTTAACTTTATAACTCTTACTTCTTCTTTTTCTATTAGAATCTCTTTAATATCTAAAAGATATTTAACTAAAGATAATAAATTCTTAGAGGCTTATTTTTAAATATATAGAGAAATACATTTTAGAGCTATTCTAGACAATAATTACTAGGCCCTTATAAAGTAAGTAATTAGACTATAATAAGGATTACAAGAATATAGCTAAGATTCAGCTTTAGCCTAAAAATTAATTTAAATATATAATATATATATATATATGCTTAGCAGCTAATCACTACTTTATAAAGATCTAAGGCCACCCATGGTTATAAGATGGTGTATGCCAAGCTGCTAGTCTAATTAGCAGCGGGAAGCCAAGCGAGGTCATGTGCCTGCTGTACTTTAAAGCTATTCCCAACTCCATCCAGGATTCCGCCTTACACCATCTCAGAAAATAGGACTTTTTTTAACTTTTTTGGAATAGTTAGAATACATCTTTTATACCTTAAAATATTAAATCTGGCTTTAAAAATACTAGTTTATATCCATTTAATCTGGAGATTGTTTTACAACATTTTACGAAGAAACTAGAAAGCAGGCTATTATCTAGTAAATCTTCAGCTTTAATATTTAAAATAGAAGATTAGAGATGTATTTGATTACTTCTAAAGAAAGTAATTGTTGATTTTAATAATCAAAAGACTTAGAAGCTTAATAATATAATGATATTTCTTACAACTAAGGTTACTCTGCTTAAAATGTGTTGCGAAGACTTAGAAAAAGCACTTATTAATAAGTAGAAGTATTATAATTAAAAGAAACCTTTACTACTCATTTTTTCTAACAAGAATAATAATAATATGATATTTTTTAGTCCTTAAAAGGTTTAGCAAGCTTATAATTTTTAATTTTAAAAAGATTAAGAAATGCTTGACATGCAGGCTTAAAAAAAGAATAAAAAGCTTCAATAATACCTTATAAAGGAGGAAAAAGAGTGCTTAAAGATTAAGAAAGTTAAGATTTGTTAAAAAAATTAAGAAATCTATTAAAATAAGACAGTAGAAAAGTAATGCCTTAAAATTAAGAAAATTCTTACATATTAGCTTAATCTATAATTTTAAAATAATATAAAAATGATTTTAAGTACTTTTATAAAGTAAAAGAGCTAATCTCTAGTAAAATCTATTAAAAATGAGGCTTCTAAGGTTTCTAAGTATGCTGATGAGCCTCTTTTAATAATAAATTATCACAGTCGCTAAATCCGTCTTTCAGTATGTTTTCGCAATTAATTGACTTGCTTAATAGATTCTCTGTGGCCGATTTACTACTACTCCATAGATTTAATAAATATTTAATATTATATGGTGTTCAAAAGCTTCAAAATATTTTCCTAGTAAATCGACAAAATCGGGCGGCAGATGATAACGAGCGGCAGGCGGTGAAGTACTGTATACCAAACTCATTGATCTCTCAAGACTTTTACTAAGATTTCTACCACCCTGTCCTTGCCCGCCTTAACCGCTGCGAGAAGAACGCTCGTACCTTCACAATCTGTCGCATTTGGATCCGCACCCGAATCCAACAGCATCTTCATGGTCTCCACGTGTCCATTTTCTGCACAATGATGCAGCGGTGTTCGGCCCTCATTGTCACGCGAGTCAACGTATGAACCACTGCGTAGGAGGATGGCGACAATCGCACTGTGTCCTTCGCGGGCAGCCATGTGGACGGCTGCCTCCATCTGGCTCAGGCCCTCTGGGATTTGAGTCCGTGCGTTCGCAGACTCGGGGTTATTGGTGTCCGTTTCAACTATCTCTTGAAGGAGACTACTGCTGACGTCTTGCAGCTGCCACAACGGCGTGGCAGGAGCATCGTTGTTTGTCTGAGCCCGGTCTGGTTGTCTGGGCGGTCTTATGGGCAGAGTTGCTGCTCTAGCAGCTTTATTGCTTTCAGGTCGCGTCATGTCAAGTGTGTTATGTTCTAGAAAGGTTGATTCAAAGTCGATATTGTCGAGACTCAAGTCATTGTCGTACAAATCTTCTTGCGGCACAGGAGGTAGAACCCCAACAGCTTGAGTTGTATTGTGTACATCAGATTCTGATCTTGGCAGCTCAGTGAAACCATTATAGAGGCTCTCAAGACTATGACAATGGCTACACTCTGAACAACGTGACAGAGCACTCGGATTCCTTCTCAGTGCTTGATGCACTTGCTGCGCGAACTGCTCGGTTTGTCTGATTTGATCCGCAATTTTTCGCCCTGGGAATAAATAGAAACTTAATATTGATAATGACAGAAAAGCAGTTTCTGTGGCGAAGAGCATAGAATAAGCTTACGATACTTCCGCTGGGCAATCCTGTTCTGCTCCCTTCGCCTTTCCTTATGGGGAGTATCTCCCAGAGGTACACTGCACTGTCTGGTAACCGGCGGAGTTGGAACTAGGCTGTCAAGGCACGCCACAGGAGGTGTATCAACACTTCTGCTTTCGATTGTTCGATTGTAGGTCAGAGGAGGCCCTTGGCGAGAAGCCATTATCTTGCGCGATTATACTTTGCTCTTGATTTACCTATCCCTTAACATGTAGCTTTATTGCTTCTTAAGTTGTTATTCCTTATCTCTAGGCCTCCCCAGGATTGGTAGGCTAGACGTGGACTAAGTTGTTACCCCTCTTTTACCAGGATGCGCATCCAGCACTGCTTGTCTAGTTAGGTTCTTGATTGGTGATACACCCTGCCGTTCAACCAGCGATAACAGATTTTCTACCAACAAATTGAAAACTGTCAACATATTAGTCTCGAAAAATTAGCAGTAGTACTGCCTAAACTAGGCTGTCTCACCTATCAAGCCTGTTTGGGCATCATTATTCGAAAAGTAGGCTTCATAGAACTTAGTTACTCTTGAGATTGCGTAGTACTTCGCTTATTACAACGCATAGTACTACAGATATTACTATGCATACTACTACGCATATTGAGGGGCATTCCTGGCTAGTAGTATCTAGCCATAGCTTTGCCCAGCGGTGTCATGATATGGCTTCTCTCTCTGCAGTAAGGACTCATCCTCATAGCATACCTCATTCTTATTTATCATAAGATAGTTTTTTTTGATAGTCAGTCCTTCCTTCACATATTAGCACGCATATTAGCACCCTATGAGTAAGCCTACAAGCTAGTCTACTAGTAAAGTATGAGCAAGTTTATCTCTCTGAGTAAATTCATATATAAACCATTAGTACTTGGATTAAGGTTAGAATGTATGAATGCACAATGAGGGTGTGTACGCTGTAAGTATGATTTCCCTATGTTAACTAAATATAGAGATGCTTAGAAGAGGGTTTAAAGACAACTGAAATCTAACTTGAAAGCTTACACCGCATGCCGCCCATTTTAAATAGTAGCTACGTACAATGCAAGTGTCAAGGAATCACTGAAACCGCAGCCAATAGATCAGGACACTAATCCCACCATAGTACGTAGAACAAAGAATTGTTGTGAGTCAAGCCAACCAACAACGCATGATGCTAGGCAGAAACTAGTACTATCAAGGAAATTGTTGTGAAATTACCTGCATGACACTAAAAGCTTGACAGGGCTTATTTTGGTACCTAATTTCTACTTTACCCTCCCTGGTATAAACGCGGGGCGAACCAGATTTAGGACTCGCCTAAAAGGATTTTGAAAGGTTTGATTGCCCTACTTCATTCAGCGCACCCACTTGAACTATATGAGGCCAAAATGTCCATGCAGCGCCCCAAGGTATGATCGCCTTTCACGGCTCGTACGAACGTGAAGCCAGCGTTATCCTAGATACAGTTTATACAGTACTGAATTCGGAAAGTCCTCATTGATGCGGCCCTGGGCTATCGCGGCTAAACCATCGGACTCAGAGCTGGGCCGTCTTAACTAGCTGGGGACTGTGGGAAATCGACTAGATGTGAGATGAGTGCTTAAATGTCTTACAGTATCACTGCAGCTGCGATTGGATGGCGATAGCAGCTATTAGAGACGTTATAGAAGATAGGTCTACTTTATATATAATATTCCCCAACGTACTCGAAATTAGATCATCATCGACCAGCAGTTTCGAGCAAAAAGTTCTATAATATAAAACATGAAAAGACTCTCGTAAAATAAATCTCTTGCGTTATAAGAGAAGTGCTCCTAAAACACTTATTACGTAACATTTGAATGTTAGAAAGCTGCACATAGTATCAATACGAAACAGATCAAGAAGCTTTACTGTCTAGAAACAAGATTGCTATAGGTAGATAATTAAATTAACATCAACCTCTTCTGAAAATCAGGGTTTGCAAGAGGATTCAAGAAAAAAACGCCTCGTCTCCCGACGAGAGAGACTGTTAGGGTCAAAACACGGTCATTCACCTATACTGACTGTCCGATGGCCCAGCCTCTCCCCAAACCCTTCATAGTACAAAGTAGCAGTATGGAAAACACTTCGGTTGTCCCATATAGCTAAATCATTCTCATTCTGCCCACGGTTTCGCACCTGAATGTCATGGTTACTGACCACGCTTCCATTTGTTGATCTACGGTATTGTTTTCCTTGTAATATAATCTTCTGTATTGGATTATTTGGCGTTGTGACATATTTAATGAAAAACAATTCCATCTCTTACGCATCATTTTTTTAACGGGATTTGCTTCATTCCAACCACTTCTCCAAGGCTGCCCTCAAATCCACCCAGAATTTGATTGTGGCTTTCAACTCCGGAAAGTGCGAGAAGTTATGTGGAACGCCCTTATAGATGTGTATCTCGACCGGTACACCGGAATCTTCGAGCTTAGTTGCATATGCAATCCCTTCATCCCGAACCGGGTCCTGGCCAGCCACGAATATTAAATGGCGGGGGAGATTGATACAGTCACCAAGTAGCGGGGAAGCTCTAGGATCCGTTCCAGTTGTCGGAGATGGATGAATGAGATTCCACACCCAGACCATGAATCCAGAGCCCATAAATGTGTTGGCATATTGCGTGTAAGAACTTGGATGCCCTTTATTTGCATATTTGGTTGGAAAATGGCGGTAATCACACAGAACAGGGACATTTAGCACAATGCCTGAGATTGGGATCATTCTGTCGCGACACATTTGAGAGAGGGCGGCAGCGATCCCCGCGCCGCTAGAGGAGCCGGCTAGGATCACTTTTTGAAGATCCAACTTGACCTCAAGGTTGGAAAATACGGACTCTTGTGCAGATGAGAAAAGTAGTCTTTCCAGCACGTCCCAGGAGTCCTCGATCCAAATCGGATATCGGTGTTCAGGGGCCAACCGGAACTCGACACTGACAATGACGAGATCCAAGTGCTCATACAGAGGCTGGAGGAGCCATGCTTCTTCAGAGGTGTGGCTACCCTGGATCCAGCCACCGCCGTGTGTAGCAAAAAGGACCGGCAACGCTGTGTCTTTTACACGGCGCGCAAAGCCTGGATATGAGATCTTCACGCTGATATTGGTCCCATCGCGGACTTTGATTATTGTAGAACGTGCCACATAACCCACGGCTTCAAGAGGATGAGCCGCTGCCCATTCAAAGTCAACGCTGGCTTGGCCAGCTCGAGCGGCCGCAATATCTACTTCTATTGGCTCAATTGGCTCTGAGGACGGTTGAATATCGTGGGGTGGCAGCGGAATGTCATTTTTGCGGGCAAATTCCTCCCAATCTGGGTCACACCTGAAATGATCCTGGTCAGACATTGTATCTGCTGTTTGCTCTTTGCTGATATTTTTTCGGGTTAAGTTTCACACGATAGTGCAATGTTGAATGTCCGAGCAATATGACAGAGATGAGGGTCTGCTGACTCAGCAATGCATGTGAATGTGAACATGAATTAGATTGCTGATGTGGATATGCTGACAGATCTCACTTGCTTACTATCATCAAAATAGCACCTAAGTGCGAGCTTAGAATTATACGGCTTTGGCGCCGTGCGTATTGTCGATCTTCTCGCTGCATCTACAAGGTTTTTTTTTTTTTCCCTTCAAAATCCACCCTTTTCACATGACCTTCTTTCCGTTAATGAGTGGATGAGACTGTCAGTCTTTGTAAAGCCAGCTAGTGACTACGATACAGTCAATTGATTCACATCTTGAATTCAACAAACAATGAAACACTTCAATTTCTTCAACTTCGGCTTCGCGAGTTACGACCCTGTTCCCGATCAAGAGGAAGCCTCAACTCCTGAATACAGAGATGACAAATACCTGACCTCTGAACAGATTCACGCTGTGGCAAGCAAAAAGCCAAACTTGATATTGTGGTATGTCTTGACATCTGTGTTTGCCACCCTCGCTACCTTCTTCTTCGTGCAAAACATGCAGATGAGGAGACGAGGAGGCTTCCAGACTGGTTACAGCAACGAGTTAGGTACGGCAATTCTCTGGACAACTGTTCCGCTTAATGTTCGCTTCCAAGAGAGATCAATAGCTAATAAGATGCCTTATAGTCCTTGCCACTCCCGCAATCCAAGTTTCACAAGTCCGATTCACCGGTGGCATCAAATTTCATGACAACGGAACCATGTACAGAGACACTGGGCCTGGGACTCAATACGTAGGGCGGCCGAGTCCAGAACTGGATGCTGCCTGGGATGAATTGATTGGAACGCGATACCTTGCTTTCACCGACCGACAAAAGTCTGCTTTTGATGTTGAAATAAGCCGCTCTAACGAAGACGGGTTATATCGTGCCGGGCCAGATGTCTTCCACTCACTGCATTGTGTCGATAAGCTCCGACGGACGATTGATGGGTATCTGTATCAAATTTCCGAACAAGTTGACGAAACATACCAAAACATCCTTCACATCGAGCATTGCCTCGATTTCTTGCGTCAGCTGGTGGGATGTAGCTCAGATCTGACGCCGATCCCGCTAGTGTACTCAATTGGCGCAGGATTCCCGGTTCCAGACTTCGAGCAATTGCACACTTGTCGTAGCTTTGAGTCAATCCGGAAGTGGGCAATGAAGCAAAACGAAGATGCCCTAAGAACTATATAGGTACCTTAGGGGAATTTATGTTCTACTAAAAATAGGATTTCTGGGTCACGTCAACACAACCAAGGAACATGAGAGACTTTTTGTATAGTAATGTGGCATCATTCAATCTTGTACCAATTTTTGGGCATTTTCCACATATTATCTGTACACTTGAAAGTGGGCACCAGCGCCTAATCTGTAAATTGCGTGATCTAAGTCGGTGCATGTTGTCTGTTGAATCTGCTGGTTTCTGAATATGGGTCTTACAACAAGCAATATCACTCCTGGCCAAGTCCACAGAATAGTCTATTAGTTAGGATCCGTTGAAGTAGAGCAATTTTGTTTAATCTGTTTATTAGACTTGATGAGGAAGCACTTGTTATTTTCATGCGCTGATAATGCCTCACTGTCACGTCAATCAAGCTTGGGGTTGATGTCCATTACTATTGCGACAGAACTGAATCTATTTTTACCTGGAATCTACACTCACGCACTTCATTGAAGGGTATGAAATTGGAATAAAACACGTACGTCTAATATGAAGTTAACATTTATCAAGGGTCGCACAAAATTTCTTGATAGACAAAGATTAAATGTGTGGAAGATTGCCCAAATTGATGGTCTCTTTAGCTAAGCAACCCCGGCTTTAGTTTCTCTGCGTTTTTTCGCCAAACAGTATCATCAAGTGCATCGCGGCCTTTAGCCCATTTCTGGATAGCGCTGTAATCGCGACAGGTATGCTCGATCTGGAATATCGGCTCCAGGTTTCCATTGGGTTTGAAGTCAGTGTGAGCCTCGGGAATGGGCGTCATATCGGATGCACACATGATGCTTTGGCGGATAGTGTCGATACAATGTTCTGAATTGTTGTTCAAATAATCAGTACTCTTCTGCGTTTCAAAATTCCGATACGAGATCTTACCTATATGAGGCCAAAAAACGTCCCCAAGTTCTTGAGGGTAATAGTCTATATATATAGCACGTCGGATTTTGTCCTACAAAGAATGGCCAACAATCAGATCCGAATAGCCTAACAGGGAACAATTGGAGGCAGCTAGTCACCAAACAATGAAGGTCGTGGAATACGGTAGGTCTGTGTCTTTGTCAGCCACGTTTTCATCCCGAAGTATAGGCCTGCCAAGATCTTACACTGCTTGATATAGCCCCGTGAATGGGTCAGTGTACAAAGAATCATCAGGCCGCGGAAAGTTGGCAAAAGTTCCTCCGTTTTCGATGTTCGCCTTCACTTCCTCTTCCGTCAGAAACACATCTGTGGCTGCAGTTCGTACGTTAAGCTAGGTTTTTTCTTTTCTTTTCTTTTTTTTGGGGGGGGGATCTTGTCTGTGCCTCTGCCGAATATACATAGACATATACACGTACTAGAAATGAGATCATGCCAGGCAGCATCGATCTCTGGAGTAGGAATACCGGAATAGTCGGGAACCCCTAGTTCTATTTCTCGATACAGCTGCTTGCTTTCATTATACCTCAATCCACCCGTAAATCTTATTTGCTTCAAGGTTGCGGGAATCTCTCTTTTTGCAATCTCTGTTTTATTGTGTCAGTTGCAAAAGATTTACATAGATTATCTTTTTAGACAGTGGAACGGCTTTTATTTTTTTTGGGACCGATGTTAAAAGAAAATCTGCTTCTGCGTACCAAGCTCATGAGCAGTCCAATATCCAAAGGGAGGTCCTCCTATCAGACCATTTACTCTGATTTCGATGATAACGATGACAGCTAACAGGAGAAGAGAAAGTACCCAGGGGGCTATCACTGCCCAGCCTAGTTGCACTCTTCTTGATGTGCGGTAGTTCGTATAATCGCTCGATTTTTCAAAAGTGGTCAAAAACGGTGTCTCCGTCTCGTGGAGTGTGGATTCAAAACTAGATCGAGTGCAATTCTCCATGACAAACCAGCAGCAGCGACACAAGCAACACACAGAAATATTCAGAGAACAAACATTTATTGCCGGGGTTGAGATCCTAACGCGCTATAGCCTTTAAAAAATAAGGACATCATGTTCAAGATTTCAATTTCGACCTTAGTGCCAGCTATTAGTGGCTGGTTGAAATGTGTATGTCAGCGGATGACGTGAGCTGCGGTGAGCACTCCGACTTAGCCCTAACGCTCAACATTTTGAGGTGAAATATGCACTTCCCATACGTCTCAATGAACGGAGCAATTCGCAAAATCAGATATTGGTCGAAAGCCAGGAAAAACATTTTGGGCTTGAGCTATTTACCTTTGGTAGAGACGTACGTCGTACGGAGAAAGTACCATGCCAGCATTTTCGCTCTCCCGACGCACATCTCGACACCAAAGTCGTTCTTCCTTTTATTATCTGTTCTTATTAGTCCCCAAAATACACCTGTTATTTCGATCTTGGAAAAATGGTCAAATCTTGGAAACCCTCGTGGCTGTACAGGACAGCGCGATCTTCATCTCCCGGATACAATGAGGGCGGGTTCAAAGACAGCTATCAGAGAGACTCCGGAGATGAAACCGAGTCATTAACTAGCGCCCCTTACCAATACCAGCAAGGCGAAGAAGAACAAACAGAAGAAATATGTGCATATCGCTTTCGAAAATATCTTCTCAATTCCAGCATCATCGCCACGATCGTCGCTACATTCATCTTCATTGGACTGTTTATTTCCTTAGGCTTAAACCATAACAACACGAAGGAAAACGATGAAAATACTGAGAAGGCCCAGTATATCGTCGAAACACACGTCTCGTCACCAAGCAAGACCAACAAAAAGCCACATCTCTGCGGCACTTCGGCGGCACAAGCCCGAGAATTAGGGTGTACATTTAACCAGCTGACCTGGGCGTGGTTGCCGCCCAATTGTCCTTCCTACGAGAACGAACAATTTTTAAAAGCTGAAGGCGAAGAACGGCAGTGGGTGTTTTACGAAGACCTGGCGCAAACCCGAGTCGTTGGTGCCGATGCGTGGGAGCAGGTTCTTGACGGCGAGCTGATGGTCTTCGGGGAAACAAGGGAACATCTAACGCATTGTGTCCTTCGCTTCCTGAGCATCTCCCAGATCATCCGTGATGGAACACCGTACTATGAAAAGCTAGTAGAATATAAGCACTCAAAACACTGCGCAGATTTATTGTTAGAAACTCTGAGGACGGCGCCCGGGTGGAATGATTTGCAGACACTGGCAGCTACTGTGTCCTTTGATCAGTATTGTGACGAGCCCAAATAACATAAATCAATGCTGGGGGCATAGCTAACTACGAAGATGTGCCTTTTCCCCCCCCTGTCTGAGGGACTATCTATTGTACATACATTTACTCATTATTTGCACTGCAGTCCCACTTTTCATTTTAGGCCACCAAATTTAAGATATTTTATTTTGTCTTTATTTTCATGTCATCCAGTTTAGAAGTGAATTTGATTGAGCTACCTATATTAGTCGTAAGATTAGGAGAGAAGTTCGGCATATAGTTGTCAGGCTAGCTAGTAGCCTAGGAGCAAGGCAAGAGGGGCTTCCAATCCCACTACGAGGGAGATAGCTACACTTGCTTACCTCACCGAGCTCATTGCATATTAATGATTACCAATGACCAGATAATTAGTTACTTCATCACCTAGTTGGTTAGTCAACTAAGAAGTTGATCTCATGTTGCTGATGTCAGACAGCTGATGTCAGACGTGTTGTTGGTGGACACTGGTGATGGAAAGTAATAACGGTGATAAACGATCTAAAACCAGATTACTTTGTGGGAGCGTTGTTTTTACTGATACAAAACTTACGCTATAGATTATATTACCTGGCTATGCTTAAATCGTCGTGTTCAAAAACCCTTGACATACTGTTGCAAAATGATCAGCGCCCACGAACACAAGTACTCCCTTTTAGGTGAGGAAGAAAATACCTATAATCGTGTCTCTGTTACACGGAGAAAGGGATTTCAGGGCTATCTTTTCTTTTCTATAATCAAATGGTTATTTCTGCTCCTGGTCAACTTGTTGGCACTTCTGTTTATATGGCAGAATAGTCGTCGCACTGCAGGCCAATCGTGCGGGCTTCCATCGGACACCTTGTTTGGAGATAGTAAGTATTGGCCAGCCCTGCTGTAAACGATTACTGTTGATTGAAGCTTATCAATGAGTTCATTCTTTTTCTTCGAAGTCCCCTGGCGACCAGTAGTTATTGAAAATGATGAGCGTTTCATCATCGCCGAACCCGAGCCTGAGCTCATGTCTTCCAATCAAAATGAATCACTAGAACCTTCAATATGGAATGAACTATGGCCAGGTACAGACATGAAACCTATATTTTTTTATAAGGGGCACGTGTGCTGAACTATGACACAGGGACCTGGGTTGCTTTCGATGACCCTTCTATCGGCGGTGCTGAAGGCCGAGGAATGCAAATGACTAGAGTCGGTTCAGACCCCAGTGCATGGGCGAAAACGAGTGAGGGGTTCGGCGTTGCCGTGATGCATCAGTTACACTGCGTTGTATGTAGCCTAAATAATTAGAGCATCGGTTCTTCGTTTGGGATAACTGGATTTGATTCTAATTAATGGCAGATGTCGGTAAAGCAAGCATTGATGGACTATGAAGCAGGTCGCAATACGAGCAGACATGCCCATGGCCATCTACATCACTGTTTAGAAACACTTCGACAGGTAAGGGAGCACCAATTCCGAGAACTTTGAATATTTTTAGCTAAAGACTTTTCAAAACTTTCCAGGCAGTCATGTGCCACGGGGATCTCGCTTTAGAGCACCCGGTTGATCACGATGGCAGACAAGGTGTGACCGGATGGGGAAATGTACATATGTGTCGGGACTGGGAAATGATCCATCAAGCAATACTACAGAAACGCATAACTCGAAGCAACCAAGGTGGATGGGTTGACTATTCGGTGAGGTAAGTGTAATTATAGTTATATATAATTAAAAGCTTGAAATTTCTTATAAGTATACACAGGCTATGTGTAACTATTGGCGTCCAAAGTACAATCGATTGATTGATTCATTAATTCATTCACGCACGCATCTAAGCCTACTTGTGGCCAGCAGAGCTATCTAATTGGGCAACAAGCCAGCTGCTAATATATCAGAATTAAACATGCAAGAGCTCCTAGCACTAGCCATAGGTAAGTATCTACATCTTTAAAATAAGCAATAAGCCGTGGTCTAGACACCCTTGTGCGATGTTCGTTAGTTATTGGCCAATTATTAAAAAAGCACCCATATATTATATAAAAATAGAGGTCTACTTTTACTTGACTATGAACTGATTCTTCTAGAGTTAAATGTACTACCCAAATAACCAGACTTTTGGTGGAGATGCTTTCCGCAGTTTAAATCTTAGATCAGACATAGATTTAAAGCTGCATTCCTCTTGAAAATGCATTGAGACGGACATCTCAAATTGCTTAATCTCTCTTAGTGCGTTTATAAATCATCAAGCAAAATGTGAAAAACAAACTACTGCCATCTATCTCCTATATCATATCCTAAATTGCTTCTTCAAATCAAGGCAGCATATTGTCGTGGCCGATCATCCCTTATCCTTATTTCCGAAAGATTAACAATGTCTAAAGTCTTAGGAACTTTTGTTCAAAAGTGTGCTATCTACATTTATAAGCTCTGTGGCGGAAGGAAATCGTATCATCCCTTCTCGAACTAAGGACGCAGAGTTTCAGTTACGTATCGATGCTCGGTGCCGGTCATTATGGTCCAGGGACGAACGTATTAACGTTGTAAAGTTGAAACAACAAATGATGTGTCGCATCAAGAAATTGCTCAGGTCATGATAACACTCCCAGAGGACATGGCAGGATGTTACTTTGCTGGATGTCATTTGTTCTATTAACATTGCCTTCTGTTTGTACATTGATCGCTAAATGGAGGAACAGTCAGCGTAATCGTTTGGGGTCTCTTGTCTTTATCGAAGCAAATACTCTGATTCGTGAGATTTGAAACTTTACAGCACTTCGAACAAATCCATCTTCACATGGTTGGGAACCTCGGGCGGTGGCAGGTCCCCTAGGAAGCAAGATTTGGCCGACCAGTCATGTTTTCCGGGCGCAACTTCAAATCTGGGTAAGGTCAAGAGAGTGCCGGGGATGGGCCGCCAAAGGCTGTGGGATCTCTAGAGACTCTCAGGCTTCCCGACCTCTCACCGTATAAGGTCCTGGACTCTCCCGGCTTCCCTGCAACTCTCCGCAACTTCCCCGCGTTTGCCCTATCTTGCACCAGCCCACCCGCTGCATTGCCTCTCATTTGACAGCAACTTTTTCTCGCCTGTCTATTCTCTTTCGCTCTTTCCCACGTTCTTCGTAGGAGAAACGATAAATGTATCTGCCGAGCCTGTCACAACAACCCACAAGGTCACCACAACCAATCTGATGTCTCCAAAGCCGAAAATTGCCGACGATCCCGTATCACCTGAGAAACCACGGCCTCGCCTTGTTACCACCTCCGTCAGAGGACCCGCGGGGTCCCCTACGATGGCCCCAGTGGATGAAAGTCACCGCCCTCCTGGTCTCAGCCTTGACAAACTTTATAGCCAACTTTGCTGGTGCTGGTCTCTCAGTCGCCGTCCCAATTTTGGAAGCCCAAGCATCAAAGGTCTGCAAATGACATTAACGCGTTGGTTACGGTTTGTTCCCCCAGTTCTCGAAACAAGCTTAATTTCACAGACCTTAAACTCCCTAGTTGTTTCCCCGTAATTCAATTTTCTCCTCCTCGGCGTTGGTAATTTGTTCTGGGCACCGTTAGCCGTCAATTTTGGCAAGCGTTTCTCTATGTTAACAGCGATGGCCGTGCTTTTCGCCATCCTAGTATGGACCGCGAAGGCCGATGGATACAATAACCCCCTCGCAGCAAGATGCCTATCGGGTTTCACAGCAGCTGCTGGCGAGGTATGCACTATTGCTGAGAAGACCCGGCGAGACTCCATGAACTAAGTAGATTACACAGAGCATTGTTCCAGCCATTGTGTCTAATCTTTCATTCATGAGCGCGCGGCCATGATGGCTGGATAAGCCGGACCCTCCTGGTCGCGTAAATATGGAGGCCCGGCTCGGAGATACTCCTCTAGATACACAGTTTCGGTGTCAGGTTATGGTACTAGCTGACTATTTCTGTAGGGGATGCTGCGTGAGGACGTCCAAGTTATGGCTTAGCTTGGGGGCCAAGGAGAGCTCATAGTTTGAATGTAATATTTAATCTGCAAGAATCACACAAGAACATGAAGGATTATGACTCTTCTTCCACTTTCGTTTGTCATGTCAATTCCTATCGGCTATATAGACCCCTTCTCACCCTCAGTCCTAGGGAGCAGAGTTCGCCATAGATTTTTTGGTAAATTCTAGAAGCACTGCCTATGACATTGGTCGTGAGACTTCTCTCATGCTTATAGTCACCTGGAAATTAGATTGTTTGGGGAACCATTGATTTCGGCAGGTCCATTGCGGTGTGGCAAGCCGGATATCATAATGGCGAATGAGTTGCGGTACAAGCTTGGAGATCTCGAGGATACTAATATTCTTACCAATGCAGGTACGTGAACCCATACCAAATGCCATGAAGTACCTTTCCATGCTTGCAAGTTGTTCTGGTGGGGAGTGCGACTTGAGCCATCGCTCTGGTCGAAAGAGTGCCGCGTCTTCGCCGAAGACAGTCGTATTGTAATGCGCAACCCAGGAATTTATCCCAACAACCCTCTGCAGAATGTTATCAGTACTAGGCACCCTGAGGAATCTAGATTGAACACTCGTAAGAAACGTAAGCTCCACTTACTCCAGCAGGGAATATCACTCCTGATAGAACTACTCCTCCTTTCGAAAGAACACGCCACATAGGAAGACCGGTGGCCGAATGCATGCGCATGCCTTCCTTGATTACACCCTGAAGATAGGGTAATTTTCGCGCCTGACCAGAAGTAATAGGGTCCGAAGCCTGACCAGATTGAATTGCCTCGTCAATCTCCGAGCACAGTCTGCGAAGGACTTGTTCGTTTTTTAGTACATAGTAAAATATCGCATTCAACGTGATTGAAATCGTGTCACTCCCAGCGAAGATATTTTGAGCGCAACCGCCAAATACGGTCTCGTAGCTATATGTCTTTGGATTTTCTTTGTGAAATTTCGCTAATTTTGTGAGAATTTCTGGTGCGTCTCGATATTCCTTCTCACGGTCCTCAAGCGACGACGTCAAGCGTCCCTGGATTTCCTTGGTCATGAAAGTTACAACAGCGGATAGACCAGTGCTGATCAGCCCAAAAACAAATGGCGCGAGCCACAAACAGATCCCACACATAGTTTATTTACTTGCGGTGATCTCTAGACTTTTCATGATACCGCTAATGTCTTCTCCTCGATCCAGGAACCCAAATCGTTTCGAGAACTGGGTGCTGGCAGTTAGTACGAAACCATGCTTGATGCTATGTATCACTTACGGTGATTTCGCCAATTACGTCAAATGCAAAACATTGCATCCAATGATTCATGCTCAATGATACCTGCTGCTTTGCTGCTTCATCAAGGCGGTTGCAAAGAATTTCGACGCAGTTATCCACATATGGCTCATAGTGTAGGAGCGTCGACATTAGAATATAAGCCTACATATTTCTTGTGTAATCAGATATTCTCCTGTTCAAACTTGCCCTCCCAAACCTTCCAAAAGTACCAAACACGGCTGTACTTAGCCCATCGTGAGCCAGGTGTGGAGGGGTACCAGTCATAGAACACATACACCAGAAAGATTCCGCATACGAGGTAATCAGAACAAGCCGAAATGAGGTCAGGCTTTCTAATTCGAGCATTATTATCATAGCTGACAGTTGCGAAGATTAAGATGCAATAGTCCTTAACAGTAGACTAAATCGTCCACAAAAAAAAGAAGAAGAAAAAAAAAAAGAAACCTTTTTAACAAAGAAAAAAGTAGCGCTATTTCTAAATGTTAGAGACTCCTCCTCTCTTTTCTATTTTCTGTTGATTGACTACCCCCTGGGGCTTTAAATACCTAGTATGCGGAGAGAATACGGAGATCCGATGTTTCCCCAGGAGGAACACTAGCTGCTCATTCAGCATATTTACATTTTCATTCCATTGATACCATTAAGTTGGTGCAGCAAAAGTGGCTTCAGCTTCCATGGGTGAGGAAAAGAAGGAAGAAGCAGTGAAGTACAGTGCATCCTTTACATTATCTTGATACTGTTTCAAACAACAGCATACTTTCCGCAGGGCAGAAACTGAATCCTAAGTCTAACTGAACTCCCAGTACTCTGAATAATCTTACAGTTTCTTTATATGATTTGATTCGAGGGACGTAATAATACGTCTGTGCTTCTTATGTCCCCTTTGTGGAATTCCCGGCCCGAAGCCGTCATTAGGTGCGCTGATTATGAGCTCGGAAGTCTCGTCCCGTTCCATGGCAGTTGTAATTCTCGTTTATTATGCTGTATAGTCAAAGACTATGACTATGGTATCTTAGTATATACTGAGTTTTATGTCAACCAAATATTATCATTCCTATGGATTTTATCTTGTCCAGTTTCATATATAGAACAAACACCACCAAGATCCCAAGAAGCTTGACCGGGATAATGCAAGTCAGCAATTGGATTCGTCGAAGCACATCTGATACGGCATTGTCGGATGGGGAGTGTGCAAGTCACACCCGAGACGATCCGGTTAAGAGAACCAATTCAGATGACTCCTCCCCGCGCCAGTCTTGACAAAGAAACAAGTTTTGTGCTTCTTTTTCAGTGGAAAATATTAGTCAGTAAGTCTTGCCAACAGGAACTATATAATCTCTTTGTTTGATTCTGTATGAAGCTGTTTATTTATTATAAATTAATTATAAATTTTACGTTATATATTCTATTGCATAATTTAACTATATCGGTATATTTATAAATTAAAATCTAAGTCAAACTACTAACTTACTCATTATATCTCAATCATGGCAGGCTACTCATGCGAGAGCGCGAGTGCATTATAGGAAATGACGGGAATCCCCTGCCAGCTTTATCTAGGAGACAGGGGTGAGAAAGGGGCGTGCGTGAACCACCTCACATTCGTGCTTCGTTCAGGTACCTTGGCTTGCTCCCGCAGCCAATTACCCACCCTCACTTTCCAACATCTACGGACCTTAAAACTATGATGTAACTGTTGGAACTTATGGGCGCTTAAGAGCTACAAAGTAATAAAAGTCCCATCCTCGACGGCTGAGACTGACTCATATCCATCTTCATTGCCTATCATATGTCTAACCCCGAGAGCAAGAATACCTACCAGGCATCTATGGCGTTCAAGCCAGTCAGAGTCAAAATAACCAAAACAGGAATACATCATGCCAGGATTCCCGAGCGTATTCGAGCGGAGTCCATGGGCAGCTATGTAGCTAGGTAAGGAAATGTGGCTCAAATTGGATATCCGTGATAAAAGACTCCTCTTTCCTCTGTATCCTACGCAGCAACCTGGAAAGAGGCACACCCACAACTCCAAACATAGGCAGCTTTAACCGAGATCCACACCCCGATATCCAATCATAGGGAGTCCGACGGCGAGGGCGAGGCTGAGGCTGCACTCTTGAATGCCGCCTACGTGGCCGCTGCTGCCGCACCTTAGAGCGGCGGCCGCACGAGCTAGATTGGGACAGGCACCCCCCGTCTCGCCCTCTGTTATCTAGGTAACCCACGGAATACTTGAACACCCATAGACGCCATAGCGGTTTTAGAGCTCATCACATACCATTTTGACTTCAATCTGCATTATCAACACGGCCGCATAAGCCAAGAGAGAGTACCACTACCTCTAAAGGGAGATGGGTGTTTTGCTTCTTTGTGAGCCAAGTCACATCTGCTTCCAATGGCAACTTCTTGGAAGCAACTTAATAACACGAAGGTGACTGTCGTCGATTGCGTAAAGCAACGCGGTCATGTTATTATTGTCCTCATAGTTGATGTCCACCTTGCTCTGGTGTGTTCGCAGCCTAACAACATGGATGCAGCCGGTACAGTAGTGGATAGAAATCGAAATGCAAAATGCATCTTGAAATGACGCATTTTTTTAAAACTCTGTCCTCGGAAAATTGAAAATCGCCAAACGATTGCGACATATGGTAAGTATTTCTTTTTGTAGCGATAGCTTCGTGTACTTACGTCTGGGCAGACGAAAACGCATTATTGGCAGGAACAATGTATATAATAGTGGTGCGAAGAACATGCCTCGTCGCGTAACTTTGTCCTCGTTATCATTCTGACTCGTGTTGTATGCTGCCTTCTGTGAGGCCTGGCAACCGCCGGCGTGGCCTAATGGCAAGGCGTGTGACTTGTACAGGCCCCCTTTCCACAATGTAAATCAAGGAATAATACTAACGTCACACAGCTATGATTGTATATCAAAAGAATAATCCCAAGATTGTGGGTTCGATCCCCACCGTCGGCTTTCATTTTTTTCTTTTTCGCACTCTGCTTTACTAGAGTAGTCAATCAAGTCTATGTATGTATGTATGTATGTATCAATATTTCTCTCCTTTTTATTTCTTTTCACATGGGATGAAAGGGGGAGAGTGAGTTGAAAAACTCACTTACATGTATATAATAAATGGGCAGAGGTTTCTCAGGTTTTTCACCACGAGATGACAACGCTAACTCAAAAAGTCTAGCCGCCACGCTTAGTCACGGCTAGTGATGGGTCATGACAGGGGTTTGGTTGGTCAGTGTCATTCTGTCATTGACAGGCCTTGTCAGCGTGTCCTTGCACTTTTTTACTAGTTATAAGTCATTATATAATATTACATGATTCTATGAATTAGATTAATTATAGGGTAAGAAAAAATTTTTAAACTAATAGAATTAGCTTATAGATCTACTTTATCTATTATATAATAATAATAGGCAAAACACCTTTAAATATATATATTTATATATATATTTATAAATATTTAACACCCTTTATCTTATAAGAAATTATTAACTTATTCTTTTATTTAATTTAGCTTAAAAATATATTGCTAATATATCTTAGTTTTAAGGATTCTAATATAAATATAGATTTACTAGAGAAATCCTATATAGAAATCATAATATATGGAAAAGTAAGAACTTGTGAGCTTTTTACTGTTATTAGATTATATAACTAATTTTAGGATTAAGAAATCTTTTAAATACTAATTTTGCTCTTATACTTCTGCTTTTTATATAATGTATATAAAAAGGCATTTAATAAAATGTATTTGCTTTAAAATCTTATTATTAGCTAATTTTTGGATAGAAGTTGAAGCTTTATATAATGTTATATTAGAATAAGAAGCTTAGAAAATATTACTTTAAATAGCATCTTTTATATAGTAGAAAACTTTTATTAAGATTAATTGACTTATTGAAATAGTTATATTTACTAATATTAAACCTTTCTCTATATTTAAGAGTCAAGAAATGAAGTTTTTAATAAGTGTGTTGAATCCTTCCTATTTAATTCCTAGTTAAAATTAAATTGTTAAATCTATTCTACTAGATTACTATCAAATTATATAAGATAAAGTTTTTTAAATTTTAAATAGATGTCAATATCTTAATTTTACTGTGGATAAGACAATAGATATTAATTATTATTAAATTATGAATTTATTAATTATTATTACTAAAAAGTTATATTATATAATCTTAGAAGATCTTGAGGATAAACTAATAACTGCTGAGTTTATTATAGATTGGATTATTAAGAAGATAAGGCCTATTTTCTATTAAAAACCTCATGTTTAATTAATCTAAGGTCTTATAGATTTAAACTCTTATATATAGCCAGTTTTCTTATATTAATTTAATAATAATAGATATATGTAGTATGATATAATTAATTTAGAATATTTTACACTTAAATTCACTGATAAAAGGCATTTTTATATTAGGATGCAATTTATATAAATTATAACTTATTATTAAGGATTTATTATTACTTTTAAGGGTTAAGAATTACTTTAAGAATGTATAATTAATTATTAATTATTTTAATAATATATTATTGTAGTTTGCAAAACTATAATATATTTAAATATAAGATAAAGGGAAGAAATGTGCCTTATTAGAGTTAGTTATTATTTATTAGAGAAGCTAGTTTAATATGCTTAAAAATCTTAAAAAAAATCAATCCTCATTTATTGTCAGAGAATCAGAACGTCACAGCCAATGGATCGAGTTAGTCTCTACGGAGCTAATGCAGGATGGAATAAGTGATTATCTAATAGAACCTTAGGGTTAGGGTATCATAGAAATTAGAGCAGCGGCTATAATTGCTATGATAATCGCTGTA